ACTCTTCAAACTGCCCCTCTAGCTCTAGTTTGTTTTGAATTTAACACCATTGAAACATTCTTTGACTCATGGTGGCTGGATTCTGGTGCCACAATACATATTATAAATTCTCTACAAGGGCTAAGAAACCAGAAGGTTCCAAGTGAGGCACAGAGGTTAGTCTTTGGCATAGCAGGGAGCAAGGCATCAATTGAATGCATTAGAACTATTTCTTTGTATTTAAATTCTGGTCATGTTTTACATTTGAACAATGTTATTTATGTACCTTCTACAAAGAGAAATTTAATTTCAACTTTAGCATTGGATATTTATGGCTATTCATTCTTCTAAGGAAATGGAAAAATTGACATTTGTTTTGATTCCATTAATGTATAAGTGATTGCGGTACATAGAGGCAATTTCTTCACTCATAGCCTCCAACCATTCAGAAGAATGCGAGCTAGAAATAGCCTCTTGATAAAATATTAGGTCTAAACTATCAATAGCATCTGAATTAAATTCCTGCAAATACACCATGTAATCATCTGGAATAGCAGACTTGCGAACCCTTTGGGACTGTCTTAGTTCAACAACCATATCCTTATCACCCTCTAAAGGTGGTTCAGATATTTCATCACCTTCATAGATGATTACTCTCATTATGGATGGATTGAACTCTTGCGTGAAAAAGGCGAGTCCTTTAATTCATTCAAGACCTTTAAAGCAGCAGTTGAATTGAAATCTGGCAAGTTGATCAAGTGTGTGAGATCTGATAGAGGAAGAGAATTTTATGGGAGATATACTGAGAATGGCAAGAACCCTGGGCCATTTGCTTTATACCTTTAAAAGCACGGCATTGAAGCTCAGTATACTATGCCTAGCACCCCGCAGTAAAATGGGGTTGCAAAAAGGCAAAATTGTACTCTTATGGATATGGTTAGGAGCATGATCAATCACTCCTTACTGTCGGAATTCTTGTAGGGTAATGCACTTAAAACTGCTGTTTATATTTTGAATCAAATTCCTAGCAAGTCAGTTCCAAAACTCCATATGAGTTGTATTTTGGAAGGACTCCTGCACTGAAGCATGTATGAGTTTAGGGTTTTAAAGCACAGGTAAAACCTTACAATCCATAATAAATGAAGCTTGATGCTAAAACTGTTGATGGTTTCTTTATTGGCTATTACACCGAATCTCGTGGGTACAGATTCTATTGTCCAAATCATACTACTAGGGTAATTGAATCTGACCAAGCTTATTTCTTTGAAGATGCCTTAGATAATGGGAGCTCTGTGCCTAGGCATATTACTTTGCATGACGAAAGTAGCATTTTGCCTATGCCTATTTTGACAACTCCTCATGTTGACAGAAATAATGCTGTGGATCAGGATGAAGCTCAAGATGAACCACCTTCAAAGAGTTCAGAGATAATAGAGCAAAAGAAAATGAGTCGTGTGTCTTGCGATTATCAACTAATCGTCTTATATAAATTAGATCGATAACCACATTATTAAATAATAAATAATTATATACTTCATTATCTTTGACTCAATCAATTAAGAGATAGAAAATAACTGATGGCTATTGGGTTGTGGGTTGAGCCTCTGCCCATTGGGCTCACTTGTGTAGTCCTCATATCACGGTTCACACAAGATCACAAAGACTAGTTTGTTTGGATTTATTAATTAATGTTAATCCGTATATAAATAAATAAATATTCCAACAATGATGGCATACAATAAGCCACCATTAAGCAAATATGCCAACTCACATGGTTTAAGAAAAGTTAATTAATTTTAATAATTATGTCTGAAATTACAATGATTAGACTAAAATGTCCTTCTAATTGATTTTTAATTGTTTCTCTGATTTAATGATACTATACATTTATAAGGTACGTTTTGAGAAAAATATAATTAATAAAAAACAATAAAACATAGGATAGTTCCTCTCATATTTGAACACGGACGGAATATTCAGATTTCGATACTAAGGGCTCATTTTTTTTTTATTTTAAAATTTTTTTTATTTTTGTAAATATATAAATTTTTTTATATAAGTGTTTTTCATTTAATTGTTTTCAAAAAAATTTTCATTTTTTTAAAAACCAAACAACTTCAAGTTATTTTCCTTTTATTTTTCTTATTTTTAAAAATATACTACATTTGGTTATTGAGAATTATAAATTACCTTGATCAATCTTTATTATTAATCACTATCATTAATTATCTATAACCATCCTTATCAGTTCATTTTTCAATTTTAGAATTGTTTTTGAATTGACATAACCAAACAGATTCTCATTTCATTTTGTTTTGAAAAATGATTTTGAACACTGTATTATAAAATAGATTTTAAAAATAAAAAATGAAAATGAAAATAAAAATCAAACAGGCCCTAAGATTCGATGATTTTTAGAGTTCCACCTTGAAGCATTTGCGCCATTGTGGTTCTACATATGTTAAATGAAAAAGTTACGTGCCTAGTGGACTCATATTTAATTTGTTGGTTTTGGTCCAAAATTGAAGTCACTTACTAGGCCGATTTGCAATTAGAAAAATAATTTCCAACCCATTTTTGTATCATTTTTCGCTTCTCAAAATTTTCAAGCCTACGCTTTTTTTTTCCTTAATCAATGATTCATTTTTTATGCAGACTTAGAGTAAAATATTCTCCGTTCGTTACATTTTATTACATGTTATTTTTTGGGAGTAATTTCATTTTTTAAAATATATTCTTTCCATTAAAAAAATATAAGGCATTTTTAATTTTTTTAATGAGTAATTATTATCTATTTTTTAAAAGTACCCCTATTGAATAAATCACTATATTTTTTTAGGATAAAATATTCTATTAAATAAGGGTAAATATGAAAAGATATGGTTATTTTAAAGACAAGTAACTACTTTATTAAAGGGTGATATTCAATTAAAAATATCTTACATTTTTAAATGGTGAGATTAAGATGTTTTGCAAAATAACAATGATGCATTAATAAATTTTATTCTAAAATACCCTTATCTCTCTCTTTTATTATAATGCTTTCATAGTCAATGTTTTATGTTAAATGAAGGGTATTTTTAAAAATTTATTTACTCCTTTTTCGAAAAAAAAACTAAGATTTTGAAATGCATTCAATTATTTTAATTATTCTTGAAAACTTATTTAAAAACATCTTAAAAAATATAACAAAAAGAGTATATAACTATGACAAGAAGTTTAACCATAGCTATGATAAGCGAGAAATTCTTGCATGGATCAGGAGTACCACCTCATCCACACTCTATTTAATGAAATTAATCATTTTAATCAAATAAAATATTAAGTCATTAATTTTAATAATTTTCTTTTGGAAATAGAGTGCTTATTTAATTTATCATTTTTTCTCTTCCTATCATCATTAATAATAGAATTAATTTATATTTGTAGCTTAAACATGCATGTTATGTTTTAATTGAATACCATACAACTGACATGGTGGACCAAGGTCCATAATAAAATTTCTCTGTGACGAGGCTCTACCAGGAAACATCTTTTAAGGAAATAATAGGCAATGGGGATATCGCCCAAAAAGAAACAGAAGGTGCTATGGAAGTTTGTCATATTTCATCAAATGCAGAGTTTGTAGATGTCAAGACAGAAGAAACGAGGTATCCAAGCCCAATACCCAACACAGACCGAAGCCCGATTCATACAATTCTTAGCCCAATTGTGTTTGTTATTCTTCTCATTAGTACATTGTATCTGTTATTCCCTCTCACTTTTTTTTTTAAAAAAGAATTACATTAAATTTCACACAAAAAAATTAATTACTATAAAATTTATTAAACTAAATTAAATGCATTGATAACTATGTGAAACTTGATTGTAATTCTCCATTTTTTTAATAACCTAGCTGGCTGGGGAAGGGGTGTCTCCCTTTTTTTTCTCCCTCTCCAATTTTCTCCTTCTCCCTCTCATCACCATTAGATCAAAGTTTTCAACGGCTCAGTGTTAATTTTTTGATAAATTTATTATTATTATTATTGATAAAATATATAAACAAAATACTATAGTTTTAAATTATTTAGATTAAAATTTAATAATTTCAATTTAATAATCTTACCAAAAAATAAATCTGAATCATTGAAACTTTAATTCAACAGTGATGAGGGAGAAAATGAGGAAAATGGAGAGGAAGAAAAAAGGGAGACATCCTCTCCCCATCCCCATAGGATAGAGGATCCTATGCACATGCATTTTACACACACACACATCATACATCACACAACCACCCCGAACACACATAATCCCCCTCCCCCAACAAAAAAACAAAAAATTAGAATGGAGGTTTGATCTGAGAGCCTCTTTCTATAAAAGGGAGAATCATAAGGATGGCAATAGTACCACTAGACCAATGGTCTGTTAGCAATATGTTATTCTCCTTCATACATGTAAGCTTGAAGAGTATTCTAGGCTTGTGTGCCCTACTATTTAATGTCAATAATATGGACTCTTTGATTACCGATTTTTAGAACAATTTCTAAAAAAAAAAATGTGTTTTCATGTTACCTGTTTTGAAAAAAAAAAAAAAATTTTGAATAACTAAAAAAAGTAAAACATCTTTTCATGTTTTGTTATTTTTTGTTTTACAAAATTAAAGTAGAGAAAAGGTAAAAAATATTATATTTTTATTAATGACAATAATGTAACAAAATAAGTAATTAGTTCACTTTGTTTTACTGTTCTAGATATTTTTTAAAATAATAATTCAATATATTTTATCATTTTTTTGTTTAAAGAATAAAAAAAAATCAAACAAGTCCTATCTTTCTATAATTTATCTCTAGTGGTCCAGGTCATTTTGGAATTTCCCTTCGATTTGTTGATACTGTATTTGATCCTTTTATCCAAAAATATTAAAATGAACTTTTCCCTACGCAATCAGGTTTAATAACCTTTTTTTTTTTTTTTGGATCAACTAGTTGGAACCGTTTCTATGACCCAAAATATTTCTAAATATATTCCTTGGTAACAGAGGCTAGATCGAATAAAATCTTAGTAATTAAGTAAATTCCAGATTGCCGACTTTTAGAAATTAAAGAGACTTGCTTTTAGTAAAAACAACATGAGTATTATTCATGAAAGCAACAAAATTAGCAACTACACTCTGACAGGAATAGCTCTTAGAGGTTGAGTCTTGTGCATGGTAAGGCCATATCTTTGACTCATATCCATGTCCTCAGCCTTTAACCCATCTGGGACCTTCCAATCAAAGTGATATATGAGAGAGGCCAACATATAAGAAAGTACCCTAGAAGCCAAGGGCAACCCGGGACACATCCTCCTTCCAGCACCAAATGGAATAAAATTAAAATCATTGCCCTTAAAATCAAGCTCACTTTCCAAAAACCTTTCAGGGATAAATGACTTAGGGTTTTCCCATATGCTTGGATCTCTTCCCATAGCCCACACATTTGCTAAAATTTGTGAATTTCTGGGTACTAAGAAGCCACATAACTCGACATCACAAATTGCCTTGTGGGGTACTAGAAATGGTGCTGGTGGGTGCAGGCGTAAAGTCTCTTTGAGTGTTGCTTGTAGGAAAGGCAACTTTGAGACCATAGACTCTTCAAATTTCAAAGTACTTTTACTAAGAACTTGTTGGAGTTCTGTTCTTGCTTTTATCATTTTTTCTGGGTTTCGCATTAATTCTGCCATTGCCCATTCTAGTGTGCTTGATGTTGTGTCTACCCCCGCTATAAATAAATCCTGAAATATCAAGGAATACCAAAAAGTCAACTTAAAAGGGAACTTTAAATTGAAGGGTAATAAAAAATAGTTTAACGACCCTAAAGTCATGATTTTAGTATAATATTTCTTTTCAATTTTTAAAAACCATGCAATATCATTCTATCATTAAGTTCACAAGAAAATTATATAGAATGACCTTAAAAATTATAGAATAAGATTTAAAAAAATTACAAGAAGTCAAGAAATGATCCAAAATGACAGACAATAACCAAAAAATATCAAGAAAAATTTTCTATCTAGGTCTTTTCCTACAATTTTTGAAGTCCTCTTTTATATGTTTTTTTATTAACTAATGGTAAAAGTTAACATTTGTTAATAGAAGAGAAGATATTGTATCGTTTTCAAAAGTTTATGATCCAATATACTTATGGACTTATAATTTAGATGTAAAATTGTCATTTGGCCCTAAAAAAAAAAAAAAACTCTATCCATTGGCGGGGCCATCATTGTTCTAGTATTTGCGAATTTAAGTTAATTTATTCGGCGATGAAGTACTCGTCCATAATTAACAATTATACTCACAATGAATAAATGAAGAGCATCATCACGACTCAACTGCGAAGTACCGTCTTGCATAAGATTGAGAAATGAATCCAACACATCAGTGTAATCTTTGGACTCCTTGTTCAAACTTCTGAAACGCAATCTGTCTTCCATAATATCATCAAAAATCTTATATAACTTCCTAAGGTAACCTGTCATCCTTGCACGAACGCCTTGAAGATCCAAAAAGCTCAAAACATAAAAAAGATCGGAAACATTAACCCTTCCAGCTTCATCCACGATCCCAATCATCAACTTCTTATACTCTCGAGCCTTATCAGAACCATAACGAGCAAAATCCATGGAGAAAAGCATGTTCGATATTGATTTCAGAACTGTAGTAAAGAGAGCCTCAGTGAGATCTATAGCCTCACCTTTGATGGAATATTCATGGACGTGATGGATTAAGTCTCCAACCTTGCTTTGGCGTAGAAACTGGGTGGTGTCTAGCTTCAGAGTTGAGAAAACTTTCGTAACACAAACTCGTCTTAGGGTTCTCCACTGAGGTGAAACGGCAAGCCATGTTACAGAGAGTCGGTGACGGTCAAGAGCTCGAGCACAGTCTGGGAAGGTTCGGCTAGAGAAGTCTAGGTCGTGCTTTTGAAAAGCTTCTTTGGCTATTTCTGGAGAAGAGATGACTATGGCAATCCTTGTGCCTAACTTGAGTGACATAATGGGTCCGTGAGATTTGGAGAGGTTCGTGATGGACAAGAGAGGGTTAGAGCCAAGCTCTAGGATGTTTCCAATTACAGGGTAGGCACGAGGGCCTGGTGGGAGCCTGTATGAAGAAGACGATGATGATCGAACGAAGCAAGTCGAGTACTTGTGAATCGAGGCTGACGAATTGTCATCTTTGAGTTTGAGAGATTTGTTAGAGGCTCGTTTGATGAATAGGATGTAGATGAGGAAGGAGGCACAGAGAAAGGACGTTAGGATGAGGACTAGCAAATTGTCCATAGTTTCTTTAATTTCTTTCTTTCCCTCTAGAAACCACTAATCTATATAGAGAATTGATACATTAATATCTCGGTCTCTTTCTACATGCGGTCCTCATCCCACTAGGAAATTTCATTATGTTTTCTCTCTTCTCTTAAACGTCGAAACACAAGAGGAGATACAGCCAAAAATTACATTGAACTAAGTGGGCTCGTTTGGAATGATGAGAATGTACAAATTTATATCAAAATGTCCATATTAATTGTGGAGGGTCGATATTCAATTCAATTTGATTTCTTAAATCTGTTGAGCGGTCTAAATATACTCACTCAAAGAGTGTATCAATGACGGTCATTGAATTTTATTAACATTTAAAAATTGTCAAGATATATTTTTCCTCCAAAAATTTAAAATAATCCTTACAATCAAAATACTCAATCCCTGCGTATGTTGTCCCTTATAAAAATTTGATATTTAGGACATTTTGAATATCATATAACAAAACCTCTTATAATTACTATCGCATCATGTGAAATACTTTTTGAGTTAGTGGATTTGTGCCACTCAATAGATCCAAATTAAATTCATTTTAATATATGCAAAATTTATTTTTTATAAAATAAAATAAAGATATATAATTTTTTATAAGTAACTTTTCTTAAAAAAACGTAAATTTGTTTTTCTAAAAAGTACTCCCTCTGGTCCTTATACGAGTTATTTTCTAGAGGAAATTGATGAATCCATACGTAATTAAGTTCACTTTTCATAAAATGCTGAACTAAGTAATTATTTTCAAACAATTTAACCCTTTTTAGTTTTAATTTTATGAGTAGGATAAGATGTCACACATATGTAATAATATAAGAGTATTTTTAAAGATAATGATTCAATAAGAGTAAATTGAAAATTCATTTTTCAAATAATGCTAATGATTTAATTAACTTCCACAATCTTACCTAGTAAAAAATAACTTATAATCCCTCCGGTCCTATTTATAAGTCACTTCCACCAACCTCACTAATACCAATACAATAAAAGTATAAAGAATAATTGTCAATGAAATTTCAAATTTACCCTTCAAAATGAAAAGGCAAAAGCACAATCAATGAATAAATTATTATTTTCAAAATTTTTCTCTCATGCTTTATCAAGCATGAGACTTTTACAGTAATAGTATGAGACTTTTGGCGGGAATAGAGCCTTTTATAGTGAAAATGAGACTTTTACAATGAAAAATTGAGCCTTCTCACGGGACTGAAAAATTAGAAGTAGTGTTTCACATTTTGAGAAACTTATATCCCACTAAAAGGGAATCAGACAACATTAAAAATAACAGAAAAGAAAGGCACAAAAACTGCACTTTTCCACCATGGAAAAGTGCTCCTTCTCTACCATGGAAAATTGCTCCTTCTCCTTTGATTTAAATGCTCCAACCAATAAGGAAGATAGTGGGGACAACAACACCATTTTTTTGAACTTAAATGCTCCTCCCATGTGTGAGAATGTCCACCTGGACAACAATCAAAATGAAGAACAACATGTTACAATCAATGAAGGAAATGGTAAGAATCTCTCTCTTTATGAAGCCCATGAATATCCACATGAATATCCCCATCTTTTGTTATTTCTTCTTTCAATGATCTAAAATGTTTCTTCTTCTTTATTTTTCTCTTAAATTATTTATGTTCAGCTAATATTAAATAATAATTAAGTTAAATTAAATAAAATAAAATTTTCTTACCTCCTGTGCATTGCACGAGTTAAATATCAAAATATTTGAAGACAAGGTTGGCCAAGAAGGTGCCATCATGATGCTAAGTGCAAATAAACCAGTGAAATAGGACTAGGAAATGTAACTTGATAGGTTTAAACTTTAAAGAGTACAAGGGCGAATCCTACATGGCTAACTTGATGAAACAAGTAATTGAAGAGGCTAGATCTGAAAATGTCAAGTCTTTAATGCTGATAAGGCTACAGTTGATTTGTTATATGATAAGTGCGATTGAATGATAGAAGCAGTAAAGGAACTGAATTACAAGCATGAGAGAAAGGAACTTTTCAGGCATTCAATCTTTCATGAAGTTTTAGAGTATAGTAAATCAAGAATATTGGTCACTGACTATGTTATAACATGAAATAAGTCCATAAATATATGGAACCAAGATCATTATTAAACACCTTCATATCGTTTCTTCTTATATTCATATAATGGTAAGCAACATGTTATCATTGAAACAAAATATGAGATGGCAAAAGATGTCAAACTACATGGCAAATAAGGAAGCAGTGAGGGATAAGAGTTCAAATAGCATTTCCCACATGTATATTGTCCAGAAAAAACTTATAATTCCAATTAAAGAAACAAAAATTGCAATTCCTAGCTTCAATTTTTTCTCTTCTCTTATACTAACATCCTCCATATTTTCTTAATCTATAAAAATAGGCTAATTAGGAAGCAGTGAGGGATAAGAGTTCAGCTAGCATTTCTTAATCTCTTATACTACTTCATTCTTTATTGAAATATTAGTCTACCAAATCAACCCATCCAAATGTCACCAAATCTCTACCAACTAAACTGTTCCCCATGATCAAACTACTTCAATGAATAAACACTAAAAATGACAAACACTATTAGAGAAACAGACTTGAGTATCATTTTGAAATGATGAATTACATTATGAGAGAAAATTATGATTTCCATCCGAAGTACAAGTGGAAAATTCTAGTGTAAAGTCCTAAAATTTTATACCTCATTTAACCACAATGTCACCACTTAACAAATAAAACAGTTGATAGAACTAGACATTTTAAATTTCCTTTTTCAAGGTAAGCAACAACATCAATCTTTTCCATTTCTATGCAGCGATTCAAAAAGAAGATTTATACCTTGGTTTGTGCTCAACTAGTATCCTGATAATCTTAGAAACTCACCCACAGAAACTTTTGTGTTTAATTAGTATCCTCACAGTTTTAGAAGCTCACCCACTGTAAGTTTTATAAATTCTCATTTTTTTTGCAAAAAAGGAAAAAAAAGTTTATTAGATTATATGGTCTATAAAGAAACCTAACATTTGTAAACTTTTGAAACAAAGACAGATGTGGGACGCAACACAATTGAATCACTAGGGCAGCCACCATGTAAAAGAAGAAGGTTCTTATCAAATGAAGAATGTGTCTCCATTTATAAGATCTTATTAAACTCAAGCCATCAAGGTAAACTGAACAGTATTACAACAAGAGAGATAGCTTCAGCATATTCAATTTCAATCAAAGTCATTCAACACATTTGGTGTCAAGTTAAGGAAACAGGGGATGCAAGCAATAGAAAGACAAACAAGTATGGAAGAAAGGGACCTAATGTGAACATGGAACAAGTCATGGCAATTCCGGTACATTGACGGACTACTTATAGGTCGCTTGCAAGTGCACTAGGTTTTAACAAGACATCACTAATCAGACATAAAAAAAGAGTTCTATGGCGCCACACAAGTGCAATCAAATCATATTTGAAGGAACAAAACATGCTTGCTTGGTAGAGGTGGTATTTATCTATTCTAGAGCAACAAAGTATACCAAATGACCCAACTTTTCAATCTATGCACAAAATTATCCACATTGATGAAAAATGGTTTTACATGACAAAGAAATTCCAAACCTACTACTTGGCAGCAGGGGAGGAGCTGCCACATCGAACATGTAAAAATAAAAACTATGTTGGTAAAGTCATGTTCCTAGTTGCTATGGCTAGACCTAGATTTGATGCACAAGGAAATGAAATTTTCTCTGGGAAAATTGGTTTGTTCCCTTTTGTTAGAAAAGAGGCAGCAAGAAGAAGGAGTGTGAACAGGAGCAAAGGCACAATGGAAACAAAACCGATCACTTCAATTATAAAAGAAGTCATGAAGTCTTTCCTTATTGACAAAGTGCTACCAGAAATCAAAGCCAAATGGCCAACATATCATGCAAATGAAACTATTTTTGTTTAGCAAGATAATTCTCCTTGTCATATTGATGACAATGATGAGGATTTTTGTATGGCAGTAAGTGATGGTGGGTTTAATATTCGCTTGATTTCTCAAACCCCCAACTCCCTTGATTTAAACATTTTGGATCTTGGATACTTTAAAGTAATTCAAGCATTACAATATCAAAAGGCATCTAAAACTATAGAGGGCCTTGTTAGAGCTGTGGAGAATTCCTTTGAAGTTTACACATCTAAGCAATTGAATAGGATCTTCCTAACACTACAAGCTACTATGGTTGACATTATGAAGGACAAAGGTCCAAATAAGTATAAGCCAAGCCATTTGAAGAAGGATGTGATGGAAAGAAGGGGTGAATTACCTAATCAACTCAAGTGTGATCCCTACCTAGTCCAAGAAGTGTTAGAGCACTTAGAAGAAGTGGATGGATAGCTTAGATTAAGGAGTGAATATTTTTGTAAACCCTCAATGTTTTGGTCATTAATATTTTGTGTTACAATTTTTCATGCAACTTGCAACACATAATATTAACAGTTAATATTTTGTAGTAAATGAAGCAATTTGTGTATGAAGTAGGTAGTTTATAATTTGCCAACAATTTCTATATTGACAATGCATATTGATGTTACATATCAAATTAAAGAAGAAAAAATCTTTAAGGATTCAAATTAACTCCACAATTATGAAAGGGCTAAATATTCAGCATTGCATATTGACACTACATATCCATTTGTAATTTCCTAGCTACATGTAATCCCTACCATAACAGAGATGCAAAAGCTCACTAAAACATAAAGCTTGCTAATTCAAAAAAACAAAACAAAAAGCTTGCTAATTCAAAACATCTGCCATTAGTTTAAATATCATCATCTATCATTCTAATATAATAGAGACGTAGAAGTGGCTAAAATGTCAATACATTCATCCATCAAACTAACCAAAAAAAGAAGATCATCAACATGCAACTTTAGCCTAACCAAAATTAACTAAACTATTATGCATCAAAATAAGCTTAAAGTCTAGACTAACTAAAATTACACAGAACTACACAAGGCCCAAAAATTCGATACTAATCAGAGCATATAATGCAAAGTGTCGTATACAAATCGCTTACGGGCTTTCTCTTCCTCAGTCAAATGTGCATAATCTTCCTCTATAAATGGAAATTTGTTTAGATCGAATGGGTGGACAATCTTCCTCTTTTATCTTTCTCTTCACCGGTTAGATGTGCCATTGTCGTTGCCGCTGCTCACTTGTTCACTGTCCTTCATTGCCTTTTCGTTTTAAATTAGAGGACTGGACTTGCTTTTTCTGCACCACCTCAATGTCGGAAAAATTGGAAGACCCAAGCAAAGAATCCTTTGGACGAGGTGCCCACGAAATCTTCTGATTCAGAGACATCACCTCTCCAGAGAAGTTGACTCGGGGTATATCTTCTTCCCCATCAAGAGAATCGTTGACTATATAGCCCATTAGCTCATCCCATGACAGATCTTCAAAGCTCTTTTTCGTTGAGCTTGAACGGCGAAGATCCATCGACATTTCAAATCACTCCTTTCATGGCGAGTTTGAGGCAGACCATGATGGAAGAGGAAAGTTAGATATGAAAGTGAGGCGAGAGCTAACAGGAAGAATGAGAAAAGCAATTGATGGCAGAGACTGAACACAGTGAAAGAAGAAGCTCGACTTGAAGAGAGAGAGAGTTGAGCCACAGACACAAGCAAGGCGTCATAAATGTCATACCACCAAGGGTATTTTGGAAACTTCAATCTAAAATACAGTCATCATCTCTTAGTGATTTATATTGTAGACCAAAATTTCTATCTAAAAAATGTCTAATATTGTGGATAGGAGGGGGTACATGAAACCATTTAATAAATTTGATATTCACAAGTCAGATCCCATCACAATCATAAGCACGTCAAATCTGTGCCGAATTCATGGAACCTGCTCACGCACTTAATTTGTGTCTATCTATCAATGCACCAACAATTGTCCACCTTCTATTAATGATTCGTCTGATATCTTCAACTTGCCCATGATGAGGATAATACTATGAGTTTCAATTTATTTTTTTAAAAAAGGATAATACTATGAGTTTGACCGTTGTACGTTGAGGAATCCAACATCTACCTTACTGTATTCTTTATTCCATTCCGTATCTGTTTGTTGATACCAAATAGTAAAATATAAACTAAAGTATATATTTAATTATTTAATTTTATATAATATTTTATTTTAAACTCTTAATTTTATAAAGTATCTTAATTCTTTAATTCTAACACTTTTAGTTTTATTTTAATAAATTTTTACATTAAACTTTCAAATATTAATAATAAAATATTTTCAAATGTTGACATATTAAGTTTAATTTTTTTAAAATAATAATAATTAACATAAAAAATAATTATTTAAATTAGAGTTAAAGGACTAAAAATATACTTAAGCCTAAAATGTAATAATAAAATTTAAAATTTAGAATTATTTAAATTAATATATATGCAAATTTATCTATGCAAAACTTAATAAATATTTAGGAATATTTCAGTTCTTACAAAATCAAACAAGCATTAGTTATATTCATCAAAATGTAGCCTCCAGGCCAACCATTGCCACTCCGCGAATAGTTTTACGGTTAATATATAGGGTTTTTTGGATTTAAGGGTTCTGGATGAAACCCTAAGTTTTAAGAAGGGGATTTAAAATTTCTTGACTGATCGATGAGTTTGGAGTGATCTAAAGACTTGATTTAGCCATAAGATACTTGTTGGAACTTAAACTTATGGTTGAGATGGATGATATGTGGAGTTTTGAATTATTGGGTATTCAAATGTGAATGTTTTGAAGAATTTCGATTTGAATGATCCAATTGTGTTTTGGTTTCATTATTGATTGAGTTTGAAAGTTTGATTGGTAAAGATGTTATGTCTAAAGTTTCATTGGATCTGGAATTGATTTGGTTTCTAGTTTTGAACTCGATATTTGTTATTAAGAAAAATAAAGAAACACTAAACATTTGAGAATTGGTTATAATATAAGGAGGCTAAAATAGTAATATTTGAACCTGTAGGCTGAGGTTATCTATATGTGGGTGTCTGTTTGGATTTGGAGCTCAATTTGGTATATTATGGTCTTCCTTCTGACATGAAGGGTGAAGGTAATCAGGGGTTTTATTTTTCATTATTCTCTTGATGCTGTCCAGTATGAATATAATTGAATTCTAATGTTATTTTATGGCTTTAATATGGATATTGGTGTATTGATTGATTTGTGTGTGTGTGTTGTACTCTAGCTAAGTTAGATTATCTTGTTAATTATGTTTTGTCCTTTTACAATCACGTGGCATTGGTACATGATTCTAAACTATTGTATGTAACCTATATCGCTTAGTCCACTCCACTAAAACATACATGTGGCCCCATAATGGAAAGTGTTGGGGTTGGTTCACTACTTTGAAGCCCAAAAAGCTTCTATGCTCCGGTCCTTTTTTATAAATTGCGACTAACTAATTTATCAAAATCAAAAAGAGGTAGTTAAATTTTTTATATTATTTAAAATAGAAAGAAATTTCCTAACTTACCTTCATTAACTGCATCATCTTTAAAAATACTTTATCATGTAACTTTTAACTCTTTACTCATTGAAAATGATGAAAGGATAAATTGAAAGAAAGTCATTAAAAATCCAATTTTTAATGCAAAGTGACTTATAAAAAGGATCATAAATTTTTTTTAAAATGTGACTTATAAATAGGATCAAAAGAAGTATACTTAGCTTGTTAGTGCTCAAATCCTTAACTACTTGTATTAGAAATGAAAATGTGTTGTTGTAGCAACCACTAAATTGGGTGTTTGCCCCAAAAGGTGTTAGGCATTATTATTATGACTTAATGGAATGGTAAATTAATAATGTTTAATGTAATGAGAAATCTTACTCTTCGTTACTTAATTATCTCACCCCTCGATTACCATTCATGTGATTGCTTCCAGACATGTGAAGTCTCATTTAACATAGACCACTCTGTTGCACCATATACATACTTGGTATATGTATTTTGATGGGAAGTTATTATTGTACAAATGCCAAGAGTTAGGGTTATTTATGAATTTCGAGGTTAACATTTTTAAACCCCTATTTTGCTAAATAATTTTGTTTATAATCCTTGTTGATTGATGGATGGTTTATTATGTTGAATTATTAAACTACCCTAGTTTTATATTTTATTGTTGTTCTATTTTAGTTCGCTTGAGTCTATGGAAACCCTCTCCACTAAGTGGACCCTGTTCGTATGTTTCTGTTGAAGTCCTCGGGTTCAGATCTTGTTTCAAAAATCTATTTTAAAAATCTCTAAGTATCTACTATATTTTTAGTTGGGGTATTTCAAAATTGTGACTCATGATTTTTTTTTTTTTACCTTGATACTCATGAATTTAATTAAAAATAATTGTCAATTTAAGTAATGTTTTTGTAAATGAATGAAAAGTCAATTGTAAATGAATAGATGGTTTTATAAATTTTTATATGATTACTTATGAATTTGAGGACAATCACTCGTGAATTTTCGGAAGGTTATCAACAGTAACTTTATAAAATTTCAATTGTGAATGAATAGTATACTCATGAATTTCGCATTTGTGGTTCATGGACAGTCACAAATTTAAAGAGTGTTACTTGTGAATATATGGAACGTTAGTCTTAAAAGAATATGAATAGTCTTAATTCTAAATTAATCAATAATTTAGGAACCCTTTGAATTTTCAATCTTGAGTTCACCAAGTAACTTTTTGAAAATTTACAAGTGACTCTTATTAAATTTATAGGAGGTAATGGTGTATATATATATATATTTATGAAGCTATCTATTCATGTATAATTGATTTCTCATATATATACACACACTTATTCACAAAGTGATATTCCTTCAATTTAAAACTTGTTTTCCTTAAATTTGTTAGCGACTTGATTTCAATAATTAAAAATATTTTAATTACAAATAAAGATTATAACCCTTTTATGATATATATCTCAAGACTTTTAATTATTATTAATGACTTTATAAGATTCTTAATTATCCTAGTTAATATGTCAAACAAGCTAGCATGCGTATGTATAAAAATATCATGTTGTCTTGGTGTACCCTTTTGTCGCCTTTTGTCCCAGTGTCTCGTCTTTCTTCCCAAGGATAAGGCTAGGCGAACCCCGGGGCTCGTGGGCCATGGTCATGGACTTCGCAGCACTCGGAAACTGACATGCACAAGCATCAAGCAGCATCGTAATAGCCGAAGACCTTTGAATCCTCAACCTCAAGCATCAGAAATAATCTTTTTTTATTCCACATCCTCAATCATGAATAATTCAAATTATTAGTATGACGACTAATAGAAGGATAAGGTTTCTTAAATTCTCTGCGCACTTTTGATTTCGCCGCCACAGAAAAAGCCTTATTTGAATGTTATTTTTTATTTCCTTCCGTTTTAAATTATAATACACTTTTAAATAAAATTTTATATATTAATAAATTTTATTAAATTTACTTAACAATATTATTATTTTAAAATAAAAATATAAAATTTTAAAAATACTCATAATTTAATATATTATAAAAAAAGAAATTGAAATTAATTATAGAGAGAGGAAAGATAATTTTGAAATTGACGTATATAATAAAATATTAATTTATTCAAAGTGTTTTATATTTTGAGATGAATAAACTTCATAAAAAATACCCTATAATTTGGGATGGAGGTAGTATCTAATTTCATGATTTTTTTAATCATCAAAGAAGATGGTGCCATATATTACTTACCCCTTTACTTAATAGTTAAAAATCATCAAATGAGAACATGATGGATATTTAGAAATAATAGTCAAGTATTTGGGCCTTTGGTCAGTCCTAGAAGCACATATTTGATGATTACTACCAAAAAACCGTCAAATATATTTGGTAAAAACCAAGCTTTAAGGCTTAGTGAAAAAAATATTTGATGGTTATTTAGTAATAATCTTCAAGTATTTGCAAATACATGAAGAAAGTAAATTCAAACTTGATACTTACTTTAAAATAATTATTAAGTATTTATGATATTTTTTTATAAATAGAAAAAAACAGCCCCTACAAATTTATAGCAAAACATAACTAGAATAGCCATAAAATTGACAACAACAATAATATCACTATATTTCATTAAAATTACTATCCAAATACATTAAAATTACTATATAAACCCTAAATCTAAAATCTTAGCTAATTTGCAAATAAAATTCCTAAGCTCAGTAGCCTAAGACATCAAAATTGGTCAAAAAATACATGGATGTGTAAATATATGCTTAAACTAGTTAGGCCTTACCACTAATACTATCCACATGTTGAACACTACCATGGCCACCTCTTCAAAGACTTCTTTTATATGCGACTCTATACCTTACATAGTGGACATCTTTGAAGTCTGTGTGCAAAGATCTACAACAAAATCAAGTCATTAGTCAACTAAAGTTCAACATAATTTATCATTTAATGTAATTAAGTTTAATATATACCTTGTCAAGTATTGTTGTAGGGGCATAGGTAATGATGTCTTTCATGAATCTCAAGAGGTAATAACCACAATCATTACTTTGATCTGGCTAGAGTGGATACTATAAAAATATCAAAGATCAATGAAATGATATAATAAATGATAGTTGCTTAATG